ATCTCTGGTGGGGGGCATTTAGGAGGCAGTCAATCAATGATTCTCTCTTATCATTGATATTTCTCCCCCTTCTTCTCTGAAATATTCTATATAATAAAAGGGTAATAAGCAAATTGGCCAAATGGTGGAACAACCGGTTGCTATGATGCACATTGACCACCAGAGGGCAGATGCTCAATGCAGGAGCTTCCCCCTCATTATCAGTGTGCTCCCCTAGGGGGAGCACTGCTCAGCTAGAAGCCGGGCTCACAGCTGGCGAGTGCAGCAGCATTGGTGGGAGCCTCTCCCACCTCTGCAGCAGTGCTAAGGATGTCTAAGAATGAGAGGGTGCAGGCCGGGCTGAGGGACGCCCCCTCCCTGAGTGCACAAATTTCACGCACTGAGCCTCTAATATATTTTACCTAATAATAAACAAACATGTAAATTGACCATGCTTCCACTACACCCATAGCCCATCAGAGTGAGTATGCAAATTAACCCAACAAAGATGGTGGGTTAATTTGCATATGCAGGCACAGAGTGGCTGGGAGGGGCGGGATGCCTGCTTTGAAGGGGAGGGGGAGCAGCAGAGGAAGCTACAGGGGCAGTGCTCCAGACAGAAGTGAGGACTTGCTGGCTCCCAGGCGGACTGGAAGTGGGGATGTGCTGGCTCCTGAGGGGCAGGGGGAAGAAAGGGGTCGGAAGGGGGAACTTGCAGGCTCCTGAGCAACTGGGAATGAAGCCAGGGAAAAGAAGGCCTATTCTTGCACAAATATCCTGCAACAGGCCGCTAGTGTGTGTGTGTGTGTGTGTGTGTGTGTGTGTGTGTGTGTGTGTGTGCCACTTTGATAGTAATCATGTTGAAACAGATGCGCTCACTCTAATTTACTTTATAAACATCCATTAGCCTCAGTGGGTAGAAGAGGCCATTTTTAATGGTAGGTATACTAAAATGCTAGGGAACAGGCAGATCTTAGAGCATGAACTTAGAAGTGTTTTCTCAGCTTTTGCCTATTAGTGGACTAATCTCCATTCATACTTACATTGGCCATGAAGGGCAATTCAGAGCGACAAACTCGTTGATAAACTCATCTTCTTGCTTGGCACACAGGGTCTCCATCAAAGATGACTATAATTAATGAAGAAGCTTAAATCTCTTGCCATATTGTGACATTCAGTCCAATTTCATTTACTTATTCAATTCTGAACCGAAATTTTACTTCTTTTTGTGCTGATGTTCTTGGGTTTGCTTCATAAGATTCATTTAATTCTCCTCCCTGCTTTCACAGAACTGTTTTAGATTTGCTCAAGTTTTTCAGATTGCAATAGGCCAAAAGTTCCTCTATTTCAGTGGTTCTCAACCTTGGTTGCATGTTAGAATCACCTGATGCTCTTTTAAAACATGGTAGCCAGGCTGTACCCCAGAACAAGTAGATCAGAATCTATGGGATGGGACACAGGCATCAGCATTTTTATTTTTTTTTTGAGAGCGAGAGAGATTTTTAAAAATATATTTTATTGATTTTTTACAGAGAAGAAGGAGAGGGATAGAGAATTAGAAACATTGATGAGAGAGAAACATATTGTAGATCAGCTGCCTCCTGCACATCCCTTACTGGAAATGTGCCTGCAACCAATGAACATGCCCTTGACCGGAATTGAACCTGGGACCCTTGAGTCTGCAGGCCGAGGCTCTATCCACTGAGCCAAACTGGTCAGAGCGAGGCAACAGCATTTTTTAAAGATCCCCAGGTCATTCCAATGTACATCCAAGACTGCGAATCACTGTTCAGTTATTTCTTCCACTGTGTCCTGGAACCAGCTTCCCAGAGCAGCTAGTTATCCTCTCTCCTTTCCTCCTGAAGGACTTTGTGGTCTAGCCCAACACACTGCTTTTATCTACTATTCCTTAACCCCCAGCTAACGTAGCTCCCAACCCCTCTCCATTCTCCAAGGCAGTGAAATCATACCAAAAAGTTAAAATTCATTTGTACTGCTATAGATGGCAGCCACTGCCTGCCACAGTGATTGCCTCAGAATCCCAACTGGTGTTTAAATGATCCTAAATGGATTTTCTTCCGACGTTTGTGTAAGCAGTATAACACAACTAAAGGTTTCTCCACTAAGGGACATTTCTAGAGAATTCTAGAATACAGCCATCTCTAAGCCAGAAACAGAAACACAATTTGAGAAGACAGCAGAAGTTGACTTCTTAGCCAGGGCACTGATTATCTAGATCTCTCAAGGTGTTTTCAATACAATAGTATTTTTAAAAAGTCAAATTCTGCAGATACAACAGAAGGATGAACTTGTATATAGGTTCCCAGGCACTGAGATGCTTCTGACTGTGGATCCCTGAGGCAAATACATTTCTCACAGAAAAAAAGACAATGTGGAGATGACTAGTATGTAGTAAAGCACTCCCAGGTCTCCCGAGAAACCCACAGCAGACATATTTGTCCATTCAATCACAAAACCAGGCCCTACAAGTCCATTAGAAATGGTCCTATTTGATGGGAACTGAGTGAACCTTTTAATGTAATATAAGCAACAACAACAACAAACACTAAAAACCCCACCTGGGTTTAAACCTCAGCTTTGCTTCTTTCCAGCTGCGTGAACTCAGTTTTGCCTTAAATTATCAACAATGATGACTGTCTAGCAGCTCTCCAGGGCTTGTGGCTAGTGCCTGGCATCTAACCTAGAAGCTCATTGGCTCTTGTTGCAGGGGAGGAGCTGCCTCTCCTTTTTCTCTTTCCATCTCACCTTCTGAACACTGTGGACAGCAATGAGTTGTGGTCAGAGTTCTTGGCTAGGGATAACTGAGGAACTCAGCAGCTCACCTTGCTGAGAACCCAGATACCCTAAAGCTCCCCTTCATCTTCTGCCAGCCTTTTACTTTCAAGTCAGACGCTCTTGAAGACAAATGCTAAATACAGGAATTACTTTTTCAACTTTGCAAATAGACACTTATCTTGGGTCAAAAGCACTGTATCACATTTGCCAAGTTATAAACACCAGATTCATCTTGGGATGTGATTTGTCCTAAATTCTTTGTACTTATTGACAAAGCCATATTGTAAGACACTACAATCTTTACCTCTGTGAGGGGCTATTTTAAAAACTGGAGAACTGCCCGGTCAGGGTGGCTCAGTGGACTGAGCATTGTCCCATGTACTAAAAGTTGCTGGTTCACATGCCTGGGTTTCAGGCTAGATCCCTAGTATGTGTGTGTGGTGGGAGGTGAGGGGGGAGCTTGCAGGAGGTAGCCGATGGATGTTTAGTTCTCTCATGTTCATGTTTTTTCTCTCCCTCTCTTTTCCTAGCTCTCTAAAAATCAATTTTAAAATAAAAGATAAAAAAACACCTGGACAACTTACATGCTTTGGTTAGAGTACACCACACACACACACAGAATTTGAGATCAGAATATTAAAATGACCCTATGATGGGCCTATAATTTTGCTGGGATAGCAGTGTTGTTTTGGATTGAACTCATTCAGTTTATACATTAGTGTTGAAAATAGAAATGTCAGCAGGACAGATCTTGGAGAAATATAGTAAAACATTAAAAAAATAATCTATGAACTCCAGAAGCTGTGTATCCATTAGTTTAGAATGTGCTTTTCTTTTAAAGACACACTCCTTAAGTTCTGCCCCAAAACAAAACACAACAAACAAACCTGCTCAGAAGTTATGCTATGCTACTGAATGCTCATGAATAAAAATAATTTAAAAAATTAATCAGTTTCGGTGATTAGCTATTCATTGCTTATTTAACTGATCTAATCACATTGGCAGGTTCAAAGTCTTGTGTCTGTCTGGGGCGAAATGCCAAGTAAAAACAAATGCTTAGTAAATGCTTTTGATCATGTTGAAGGTGGCTCTGTTGCAAAATCAATTGAAATATATTTGCCTTGCTATGACAGCAATTCCTCTTAAGCTAAATTGACCTTCAAGACTTCTCACTTTTACTCCCACTGCTGTTTTTACCAGGGTAGAAATACTTCAGGTTTTGTTTTCTTCCCAGACTTTCACTGTTCATTTTATTTGCCATAGTTTCCACCCCTCCCCCTGAAGTTATTTTATTTTTATTTCCTTCACTTTAAGCCAATCATGAAATGTCAGTTATTCTGGGATGGAGGCACAAAGAAGGCAAAGTTAAGAGTCCTAGGGCTGGCCCACATGGCCTCATAAGGTGCAGGAGGGCAGGCCTCACTGGGGAAGCTGGAGGAGCACCCACTGCCATAGTCACTTCAGAGGCAGGAAAGTTTGCTCCTGGAAAGAATGTCCCTTTGCCCTCAAATCCATTTTATTCTTGGGTAGCCCAAATGGTAAAGAAGAATCAGTGAAGAACCAAGATTTAATTTTTTACAGTGTGACAACGTCTCAAGGTCACATCCTCCTTCTGTAGCTGATTCCTTCTGTCATCTCAGGGTGTGTGTTGGGGAGAAGAGGGGGATGCTAAGGACACCGTGCACTGCCTTCCCTGGGGCTCCTGGAAGATGTTCCAGCTCCCTCCCACTTGGGCTGCCCCACCCACGGTCCGTCATGGCCATTTCCTAGTGTCTTCTCTGACTGGGCACCGACGACCCACCCACCCTACCTCACCCCGCTGGGTATTTTCCTCAGGACTGCCAGAGCTCTAGCGGTGAGTCTGCAGTTCGGAAGTCCCACTGTTGTTGCGTCAAGGTAATGACCAGCCCTGGGACGCGCTGGGGGGCGGGGTAGGAAGGGGTGGGGCACAGAAACGACGTATGAAAGCCGGGGATCCCCGGACCCCGCTTCTTTAAGGAAATGACCCTCCAAACAGGGCCCATCCAACGCCCCAGAACACACATTCAGAGGACACATCATCCATCCCAAAGCCAGTGCCATCAGATTCACCTCTACAGTCCCCGAGAGCCGACAGCCGGCTCTGGCGGTCCTCGATCTTTTGCCAACCCCCCAGCTCCGAACCCCCAGCTCCGGGGAACCCGAGCCCCGCGCCCGCAGCACCCGCGGCGGCGCCCCACACGCACCCACATCGCCCAGGAAGCAGCCGTCTGCCGTCCGGGACTCCATGCCACCGGCTGTCACGCAGCCCCAGCTCCGTATCCGGTGACTCTGCGCTGGGACAAGGGCCTCCTGCGGAGATGGCCGCGAGCGCCGGGAGTTGTAGTTCCCGATCCGGCGGGCGCGCCCCGGTGTGGTCAGCGCACGGCGTGGTCACCTGCGTCCAGCTGCCGCCGCGCTCAGCTGGGCCGACAGCTGTCCGTGTGCAAAGCATCTATCCCAAAGCAAGACGTGTCCAGCTGCTAAAACTCACTACCAAGCTTTGCATTGCAGAGCTCCAGAGCTCCTCCACGCTTTCAAGATGAACTTCCTGCTGCAGCTGACATACTCCCTGTTTCTTTCTCTTTTGAGAGGAAGTCATAAATTCCAAATCATTCACATTCGTTAAAAAATAAAAACAAACAAACAAACAGAAAGCCTTTTCAAGTTCTACTCTTGACAGAAACGAATGACCTGTTTCCAAATGACTCTCAGTTGACAACTGAGTAAGGGAGCTTTTTCTTTAACCCGCCCTGACCTAACCTGAGCCTAAATGTAGACGTTAGTTTGGGCAAGAAAATAAAAATATCAGGAATTGCCCGTTCTGGAAACACATACGGACAAGCCGGGAGCAGAAAATTTGGTGGGTCACCCATGCAGAGGTTTCCCAAGGACATGAATGTCCAGTCCAGTCAATGGGCACGGTATTGAGCAGGGTTGGAGCCCTTTAGAATTCAAAGCTTCTTGGAATTGAGAACTCCAGGCCTCGGGATAACCTTTCAAGTGTATTAGCAATGTGTGTTTTTACCCTTTTTTCATTTGTCTACCAAAATTAGCCTCTTGAATTTTCTTTGCAAGTTTATTTACTAAGTGTACTACATTTAGTAATTAATACATTTGTCAAGGGATGTTGTTTTCCCCATGAATATGCCATGTGCTTGTATGTTTGTATTTTCTTCAATATTTCTTTCGTGACAAAGTATCTAGATATGAGTATAAATCATATGTTCATATTTTTATATGTATACTAGAGGCCCGATGCACAAAATTTGTGCAAGAATAGGCCTTCCGCCGGGACTGGTTTGGCTTAGTGGATAGAGCGTCAGCCTGTGGACCGAAAGGTCCCGGGTTCGATTCCAGTCAAGGGCATGTACCGTGGTTGCAGGCACATCCCCAGTGGGGGTTGTGCAAGAGGCAGCTGATAGATGTTTCTCTCTCATCGACGTTTCTAACTCTCTGTCCCTCTCAATTTCTCTCTGTGTAAAATCAATAAAATATATATTTTTTTTAAAAGAATAGGTCTTCCTTACCCCTGGCTGCTGGCACCCAGGACCAGGGCTTCCCTCGCAGCCCTGGCTTTGTCCAAAAGTCATCGGAAGGATGTCCACTCTAATTAGCATATTATGCTTTTATTATTATAAATACCATATATATTTATCTGCAATACAATATAAATATAAATTTATATTTTTACATTTAAATCTATATATATGCATGCAAATATTTGCTAAAGTATTAAAAAGAAAATATTCCTTATTAGCTTATTATGTTGTAATTTTTCTTGATTCTGTTACTTGATTTCAACAGTTAATTGCAGAAAACCTTTTTTAAGCTTTTATGTCAGAGGTGGGGAACATCCAGCCTTCGGGCCATATAAGGCCCTTGTAATCATTTGGTCTGATCCTACCAAAGCATTAGGAGTGAGTTAATTAAATGTTTGACCAACCCAGGTGGCGTGGTTCAGTGGTTGTATGTCGACCTATGAGGTCAGGATTTTATTCCAGGTCAGGGCACATGCCCAGGTTGTGGGCTTTCTGGGAGCTAAATCCCCAGAGTGGAGCATGAAGGAGGCAGCAAATCAGTGATTCTCTCTCATTGTTAATGTTTCTATGTCTCCCTTCCTCTCTGAAGTCAATAAAGATATATATTTTTTAATGTTGGATGAAATACAGCAGGCTAATCTTTAAGTTGATAATTTTGGATAGCCCAAGAATGATGTTGTAAATATCCAAATGGCCCTTGGCAAAAAAATGTTTCCCCACCCCTGTTTTCTGTATTCAGAAATATATTGTGAAAGTATTTCCTCTTTCTTCTATATTCAGAATGTATTTTTCCCACCCAGAGTAATAATATGTATATTACTCTGTTTTGTTGTTATTAAGATTTTTATTCATTTGAAATTTGTTGCAATATATAGGATCCAAGTTAATTTTTTTCTAAACTGAAACAGAATGGTTCCCAAAATAGTCATTAAATAGTAGTTTATTTGTCTATTTTTTGTTAATATCCTTTTATTGTCTATTAGGTTCAACTATCTTATTTTTCTTTTTTAATTTATATATAATTGGCATGTAATATATTAGTTTCAGGTATACAACATAATAATTCAATATTTGTACATATTATAAAATGTTTGCCACTGTTAGTCTAGTTAATACTCATCACCCACAATTACAATTTTTTTCTTATGATGTGAACTTTTAAGATCTATTTTCTTTGCAACTTTCAAATATAAAAACAATATTATTACTTACCATGTGATACATTACATCCCCATGATTTATTTTATAACTGAATTAGAGGCCTGGTGCATTAAAATTCGTGTATGGGGGGGGGGGGGGGTCCCCTCAGTCCAGTCTGCACCCTTTCTAATCTGGGAATCCTCAAATGATGTCCAACTGTCCTTGGGCCTAAATGGGAAGTCAGACATCCCTCTCACAATCCAGGACTGCTGGCTCCCAACTGCTCACATGCCTGCCTTCCTGATTGCTCCTAACTGCTTCTGCCTGCCAGCCTGATCACCCACTAACTACTCCCCTGCCAGCCTGATTGATACCTAACTGCTCCCCTGCCAGCCCAATTGTTCCTAACTGTCCTTCAGGTTACCCCCAACTTCCCTCCCCTGCTGACTCAGTCAACCCTAACTGCCCTTCTATGACAGCCTGGTTGCCACTAATTGCCCTCCCTGCCAGCCTGGTTGCCCCCAACTGTCCTCTCCTGCAGGCCTGGTCCCCCCACAACTCCCCTCCCCTGCCAGCCCGTTCACTCCTAATTCTCTCCCTTACAAACCTGATAGCCTCCCAACTGCCCTCCTTTGCAGGCCATCTTGTGTCCACATGGGGCACCCATCTTTGATGACATGGGGTGGCCATCTTGTGTGTTGGAGTGATGATCAATTTGCATATTACCTCTTTATTATATAGGAAGGTTGTGCCCTTTTGACCATCTTCATCAACTTTGCACCCCTACCCCTACATATGCCTGTCACCAACTGGTTCTCTGTATCTATTAAATCATTTTTTTGTTTTGTTTTGTTTTAGATTTCACATATAAGTGAGATCATATGATTTTTTTAAAAATATATTTTATTGAGTATGCCGGCTGCACCCTAACTAGTTTGGCTCAGTGGATAGAGTGTCGGCCTGTGGTCTGAAGGGTCCCAGGTTCGATTTCGGTCAAGGGCATGTTCCTTGGTTGCAGGCCCATCCCCAGTATGGGACGTGCAAGAGACAGCTGATAGATGTTTCTTTCTCTGTTATTTCTAACTCTATCCCTCTCACTTCCTCTCTGTAAAAAAATCAATTATTTATATATATATATATATATAATTTTTTAAATTTTTTATTTATTTATTTTTTAATATATATTTTATTGATTTTACAAAGAGAGGAATTGAGAGGGACAGAGAGTCAGAAACGTCGATGAGAGAGAAACATCGACCAGCTGCCTCTTGCACACCCCCTACCAGGGATGTGCCCGCAACCAAGGTACATGCCCTTGACCGGAATCGAACCTGGGACCCTTCAGTCCCCAAGTTGACGCTCTATCTATTGAGCCAAACCGATCTCGGTGACATTTTGTCTTTTAGTTGTAGTTTTGAAATTGTTGTGCGAAGCAGCAGTTCAGGCGTTTACCTTTGCCACCATCTTGGTTTCTCCTATGGATCTGTTCTTGTTCATCAGTCTATGTTGTTCATCATTTCCTCTAAATGAGAGAGATCATGTGCTACTAGAAATACACCTATAAGAACCAAAAATGAGACAAGCAATAATGGTTGAATCAGTCTGTAGTGAGTTTCTTTCTGGGCCAACAGTTCTTTTGATTCACAATTTCAATGTCAAACAGTTCCTTATGTGTACATGTCAGCAAGGATATTTCAGTTCTGGATGGTGGACAAATGCTGGTAATGCAGGTCCGACCCTCTCTGGTTTGGTCTGACATAATTTTTCTACATGTTATGTGAAAACTTAGGAAGAATCATTGCAATAAATTATTCAAAGTAATATTAGAGGTAACACAAGAAAATTTTGGTCCTACATGTAAATTTATATGTGTAGTGATTACAGTAATAGATCAGAAAATATATTTGCAATTTCTAATGGAAAAAAATAAGTTAATTTTAAATACTCTGTATTCTTCAATGAAGCAAGAAAGCAGATGAAGGATATAATGTTGGATAGTCTTATCAAGCAGGACACCTTTTAAAGATAATTTTTCAGGGAAGCTAAAATGAGCAACAATAAAGCTCTACACTAGTATAACTGCTCGTTATACTATACCCTGTACAGCTGGCCCTTGAACAACTTAAGAATTAGGGGCACCCACCCCCTGAGCAATAAAACTCTACACATAGCCCTGCCCATGTAGTTCAGTTGGTTGAGTATCCTCTATGCACCAAAAGGTCATCGGTTCAATTTCCAGTCAGAGCCCATACCCAGGTTTCAGGATCCATTCCAAGTAAGGTGCATATGGGAAGTAACAAACTGATATATCTCTCTCACACCAATCTCTCTCTCTCTCTCTCTCTCTCTCTCTCTCTCTCTATCTCTATCTCTATCTCTATCTCTCACAAAATCAATTTTTAAAAAGTCTTTTTAAAAAAACAATAAAACAACACCTATAACTTCAGTTATCTCTTTGCATTTGTGAATTTGCAAACTTAGATAGAAAATACTGTTATAGTTCCAGATTGGCTAAAATCCATGGATGAAAAACCTAGGAATACAAAGGGCCAACTGTATGATTATTTT